TTTGAGCTCATCTGAGGTAGCCAATCAAATCGATTTAAATTCCAACGAGAAACCACGCCACAACACGAAATTTCACTCGAAAGCACAATACTCGATCAATTTTTCACCAATCGAAATTTTGAACAGTAACTACTGTTGGTCTTGACCAGTTCTATCGTTATTACGGCTTATTTTCCTAAAAAATATCAATACAAAGTTGGAATAGCTGTCGAAAGACAATGCATTTTTTTGTAGTCTTTAGTTGAAATGCACCATAGTACAAATGTCATACAGCGAGGACATGTGCCGGAGTTCTACCGTAAATTACAGCGATGTACTACTGTACATATGGTTCCACATCGTAGAAAACCACGCCATCGCCTTGTTCCATCGCGTACATGCAGGTAGCATATACTACTTACGCGATGGAATAACAGCCAACGTGTTTTCGTCGCTTTAGCATCACATGGGATATTATTGCTCAGAGTGATTTGGCATTTGTAAGACCCCTGTGAATTATTAATACTGTAGCTATTAAAACACCACGCGATATACGTATGTAGTCAATTTTGTAATACTAGTACAACAGTAGTAACGTACGTTAACTACCACTCTTTTACATATGGGTACTTCAAGCCCAATCTTGAATGACTATTATCAACGAATTCTACGCTGAATTGGCATTTCACCAACGTGACGGAAGGGTTGGCATTATTATATGACAGAGGTTTTGACTCCAACAAGTAACGACATGTGATTGGACAATACAAAGTTATCCTAAATTGGTAAACTGGTCATAATAATAACTGTTTAGGGCTCCTCTGGATGCTGTTGTATTACAATTTTTACTGTTAGCCACGTAAAGCCATTCAGTGTAAAGACAACCAGTGTAAAGCCAATACAGTAATACTTGGTACAGTAATGTATATGATGTGGGTAGTTAACGAGCGACAAAGTAACTAGTTAACTATTAGTTTGTCGCGTCCTCGTGCATCAAGTCCATGAAACGTTGCCGCCAAGGCAAGAACCCCGCATGCCCCCGTCGGATCATTTCGCGCCGGGCGTACGCGGCCTTGTCGTCGACGTCCGTCACGTCGATGCCCGTCATCGCCGCAAACTCGGCCACACCACTCACAAACCCGGTGGCAGGTCGAAATTTGCGCGACAAGTGATTCACGACGCGTACTATGATGTGCGATGGCGATACCTGCCGCACCTCCGTCTTACATACATATAGCCCACCGTTTACAACACCGCCGAACCATCACACTGTAGAAGTTATTGCCGTGCTGCACTTACCACGACCTAAAGTGCCGCTGATTGAGCAGGGGGTGGCACACGTGGGCTTCATCGTGTTCAACTTGGCGCATGACCATGATGAATCGATCAGCTTCCACGAAGTGTCTTGGAGTGAGTTCACGAACTCGCCGTCGCCAGTGGCCGAGTGAAACAGGCGCGTGTTGGATGTGCTCTCGTCCACCACCTAATCAAGCGCCAACGTCAGTTGTATCCTTGTTTGGCATAACTAATTTGGACTTGCCATTTCGACATCATTGGGGAAGAGCACCGCCTGCATCTTGGACTCGACCAGTCGTCGAAACATGTGCACCGTGCCGGGTAACGAGTGCTGCATCCTTTCCATGTACATGAACGGCGGGTCATCGTCGTCCCACGATTGCACGTCGATATGGAAACACTCGTCGCCATAGCTCACGGCAGGAAACGACGCGAACGGCTTGTGCATGTTGTGGTACAGTTGCTGCGTGAGCCACTCCTTGCCCAGGGTTCGAGCACTCGGCTCGGCCGCCAACGTCGCACAGTACCACGAATTGCTGCGGGACATGGGTAGCTAGTACATGCACAGACATACTGTAACGATCTCAATCGATTGTCTCGATGGAAATGTGATAATATAATAATGTACCGGAATGTTCATCACGACAAAGCGTTGCATGGCCTGCATGAGGGTTCGGTACTCTTGTGTTTGAGTGACCAGTGACTGGCGGTCCGTCAAGACACGATGTGCTTCTCTTTTGAACACGGTAGCAATGGAACACCACGACAACGGACCATCGCTTGCTTCACGCACCGGCGGATGCTCCATGGCTCGAAGACTATCACGGATCGACCGAAGGTGTACGAGCTCCGCATCGATGGCCGCCCCTTCAACATTCAGCTTGCGGCGATACTCGCGCTGCTTGTCTCGAAAGTATCGACGCCGAGCGAATGCCTTCTCCGAGAGCGTCGGCGCCGCAGTTGTGCCAGCATCCGACGACATTCATCTTGATTTGAATTCTCCAGAATGGATCCTCACATGTCAATCAAATCACTCCGAGTCGCCGGAATATTTTTGCTTTTGGCCCTGACGTCAAATACTTCTTCGAAGTAACCGAGTACAGTCTGTAAATAAATAATTTGACCAATAAGCGTTGAGTAAAAATACAATGTTTGGAGACAACAAATATTATCGATTTGATAAAGAAATTTGGGGTCTCTACCAACTTCAAGTTGCGTTTGACTGTGAAAACCCAAAAGCAAAAAGTGAAAAGCAGCAGCTTTCTTGACGAAAATCCTAGTAACGTTAATACCAAAAGTGTCAAAAACGCGTGCGATATATATTGTGCTGTCGAATGAAATTTCATTGTGTTGTGGTTTCTGTGTTTACACACAGGTAAACATAATTTACACAAGGTTATCGATTTACAAAGTATGTACCTCAGGTGTGGAAATACCGTACTTCGTATGTTAAGAGAAGCCCCCACGTGTATAAATCTATACAAATTTAAAGAGGTAGCCCACAGAATGATTGAAGTTCAAGTTGCGGATGTTAAGAGCATCATACAAATTTCTTGATGTCGACCTTTTGGTGACTCCGTGCAACAATTATCTGATATTAGAGGTATGTAATATGAAGAGGAAAACATTTATAGAGTTTTGCAGACCACTGCAGAATTTTCGTGGGAGGGGGCAAGCGGTAAGTTCTTGCCGCAAGACACCGGCCACACTGCGAGATGGATCGAAGGCCTACAAACCACGGTAAGAATAACTTACTATCTATTGATACTGTAAGTAGGGAAGCAATAAATCACAACGCCGACTGCTCCGGGCCATGTTCTGTTCTCCTTGTGCGGCCGGCTGTATGCTGTCGTCCTGCGTCGTGTGTTCGTCCCTGCGCTGCATCGGTATGTGGGTCCCAACGAATTTCGCCCTCTTTCATCCTTTATCTTTCTTTGTTGTGTACGCCCACGCACTGCATCTTCATTGTTTATGCCTCGCTGTTTCATAGGATGGTTTCCTGTGCTGTTTGTGTGTGTGCATATGCTGCGTAGTTTGTCGGCGTCTGATTAGCGTCGTTTTACTACGTTTCTGAGCTATATTTTGTGCTGTACTGCATTGTTGCCGTGCTGTCGTCCCCGTTTTGTGGATATTGAGATGTCATGATTGATGTGTCCATGTACAGTATATTGTTTGTGTCATCAACCCGGGTAATTAGAGAACAATGTAAACGAACGTGAGCACTGATACATGTATTATTCAAAGGTCGAATCGAATATTTGTGTCATCGACCCGAGTAATTTAGTTTCACGAGAGCACCATGTTAAATACACGTGAGAACTAATACATGTATTATTCAAAGGTTGAATCCTCTTCGTCTACTGCTATATTAGTCATCAGTGCCATATCGGTCAGGCGGGATACAACCGAGTTGACTGACTCGTCGTCGCTGTACTCGGCTTGTTCGACTTCGGGGACATCAAGATCGTCATAGAGTAGTTTAGTGCGACGAAACCCTTAAATGATCGTGGCGGCAGGCAGGGCATTCCACGCACGATTGATCCACTCCACGATGCGCGTGCGGTCGGGAGCCACCATTTGAAATGGAGTTCCATTGTCGTGGTCACGCAGCTGTTGCTGGAGGCATTCGATCCAAAATTGGCGCAACTGTGTTTTGAATGGTTTGTTCCACGCCACATCCGCTGGCTGGCACGACCACGTAAAACGTGGTGGGATTTTTTCGAGCAGGACGTTGAGTGACGCCGCACATTCCTGGACGTTGTCGGTGAAGTGGCACGAAAAGTCGTCCCACAAAAGTAGCACCTTCTTTGACATGTCAGGGCGAGCTCCAAAATGGTGTTTTAAGAACTCAACGCTTATAGCGGAGTTCCACCACGCCGTCGGGTTACCGTAAATCCGGCTAGGCCAATCAAGCAGGAGCTGGTCCACTTCTCGAAATACTCGCACTCCAAATCCAAAGCGAGACGACAAGTTGGCTTGGACTGTTGTGG